CCCCCCCCCCCCCCCCCCCCTTCAGTACCTGACTTAGTAGCTTGTCAAAATAACTCTCAGCTACCAAACGACACTATTGAACCCCATTCGGATCAGCTTTCTCAGCAGAGTTCCGAACACTGTGGGTGTATTGGTAAAGTTCCAGTCTACGAGTTCGCTGAAGTTCAGAAAAATTGAGCTTGTGTTCTACTCCGAATAAAAATCGATTACGGTTACGTTCGAAATCAGATACTGTAGAGCAGCTATTCCGGCAACCAGTAAAAGCGGCCTTAGGGATTCAGACCTCGACAAAAACAACCCCACTTCAGATAAGCTCGAGATAGATAAACTTCGGTTGTAAATGGCTGGTAGCAACCCACTCAACCTGGAGGAAACATTACTTATATTCAACACTCTACTGCAAAATACAAAAGGAAAGAATGGCGAACTCCTGGTTATAACGTTGGTGCTAGATTGTCTCATGGGTCAGCTTATGGCCCACCACACTCTTGGACCACTTTCTTTGAGTACTTCGTTAGGGCAGGGTTGTTGACTGCACTGTGGCTACACTTATCTGACTCGAATACTCCTACTTGCGAGGGCTATCAGAGATATCGCGCTCTATTGACAATGCAAATTACTATGCATAGCGGTCCTAAACAGATGACACTGTTTATAAGGTTGTTCGACAGTACTTGAGCTGCTAGAGATCGCGGTCAGCGATGTGGTTCTTGCCTTCTGCTGAGGTCTTCTGTTTTGCATTGCTTCTGAAACCTTTCTTGTGCAACAGAGAAATCGTGAATTTGAGCTATTACGAAGCAGGACGGGTTTGGTTGCACATCTTGTTTGTAATAATTGCCAGAACCGCGAAATTCTAATGAAGTACATCTGAAGAGAAGCCTTTTCTTTGTTTCCTGTTGTTTGGCCGGTTCCTACTTTACTTACCAGACAAGCTTTGGTGCATCACTTTAATTAGCAATAATAAGCTCAAAAATAGGTCGTTCTTATGGTTTCACGTTTCTTTCCTGCAAATTAACATTCTTAAATATTATAGAAACAAAGTCCAAAAAGGCCTAGGCCAGTAAATACTCATCCTTGCTTTTCAGATGGATTACAAAGAGCAACAGACACAAGAAATTGAAGCTCTTCAAGCGATATACCAAGAAGAAGAACTGGAAGTTACATGCAATCAATATCCGAATATTTCATTGCGGGTCAATCTCAAGTCAAACCAGGTACCGAATCTACAGACACAATTATCTACAGGGAGTGAGGGAACACTTTTTCGGTTTCGTTACAACTATTCTTCAAGAAACACATTTTATCCTTAACTAACTTCAAACTTCCTCCTTTGTCACACTTATTTAATCAAATTTTTCTGAGAAAAAATGCAGCAAAAAGCAGAAAAAAAGTATCTTGGATTAAGATAGTTCACAGCTCTTCCAAAATTTTCCTTTTTTCAATTAATTACTTGTAGTTTTCGAGTTTTGTGTTTTTATTTGTGCTTGCCTGTTTCTCATACAATGAGTTGCTTAGGAGAATGAGTGTGCCTGCGATTTTGATGTCGCTCTAGTTATGCAATTACCAGAAACGTATCCGGATGTTATTCCACGGATATCACTGGAAGGACTTGATGATATTTTCACGGATGATCGGGTGCAGCAAGCTGTTCATGTGAGTTGTAGTATTTACCTTTTGCTATTTTTAGCACATAGAGATAGCTCAAGCTATGCTTATGCAAAAGTTTGAGGGTAGAATTATTTTTTCTAGCCTTTATATTGCTAAGCGTGAATTGTTCCTTCAATAAAGGAGTTTCAGAAGTTAGAAGAGGAAGCATCCAATAATCTCGGGATGGTCATGGTCTTTTCAATTGTCAGTGCCTTACAGGTGTGTTGACACTGTTTAACTAATACCTTGTTCCAGTTTCTCTTCACTATTATCTCATTTTGACTATTTACCAATTTATGAAACCTTTGTTCTATGTATGTTTTGTTCCCGATCTTTTTATCCATATGTTCGCATCAACCTCATCAATATAAGTGAGATCTAAATAAATAGTATCATATGACATGCTTGCTTCAGGATGAAATAGGCGTTTTGTTGGAAGAAAAGAAGAAAGAATTAGAAAAGAAAGTTGAAGAAGAGAAAGAAAAAGCTGAAGCTGTGCTGAGGAAAAAGTTCGAAGGTACATAGAAATTTATTGTTTCCCGAATTCTTTTTCGGTCTGGTTTCGAGTAATGAGTGCAACAGAGTCTTGCACAAAATTTTTTTTACCTTTGGAAGCATGTTACAAGCGTGTAACTTTAGTGTAATTTAGGTCTATGTCTAAGTTTTCTTTTCTGGGCAAGAGTCTAGCTACCAATACTTTTTTGTTAAAAATCAGCTATCGAAATACGTTTTAGATGACATCAGCGGAACTTTACCGACTTGTTTACTTGCGGCCTCTGCACCATTGTCTAATTTAACAGTCACCTAATGTCTTCTCTTTTTCATCATTTTTTCAAATGTAATACTAAAATGAATTACTTCTCTATGGATCACATCGTTACGCATTGGAGAACCAATTTCAGAGTCACGTAAAATTGTTCGCGTTCATGCGTGACGGCATCGAATTCAGTACCCGCAGCGGAATGTGCAGGGCGAGACCGCAGCGCGCAAATTCTATCCGATTTTTACACATTGTTAAGCCACAATGCTCGCGTGAGCTATTTCGACGGTAAAGCGCAGATGTGGGCAGAAAATGAGGTTTTATAGAAAAACAACGTGACCCACCGCTGTGCTTGGAATGAAAAATCCTATTCCTCCCTAAGAACAACCTTTAATTTGGTGTGAATATCCTGTGGACTATCGTATAGTTCATTTTTAGGTTGAAGAATATCCTGCTTTATTTATCTTCAAGCTATCTGAATTTTTTTTGCTAATTTGCTTCCGTTTTATTCCCCTTTTTACATCCTTTTCACGTCTTGGTGGCGGTCCACATGCTTGAGCTTATCCCTGACTTATGTTGAAATCTAAAAGAAATCGATAGCTGTCACCGTAATATAGTATATCCTTGTGATCAAGTACTGTATATTTCCTTTCCAAGAATATACCTCCCTAGACAGCTAGAACAGTTGGATATGAAAAATTCCATTCCATTCCAGTGCCAGTCGGCAAGAAGACCGTGTTGGGTGGGCATCGCTTGGGATAGGGAAGTGCAAAGGAGGTGATGGCATACAATAAAGAGAAGCTGTTGAGTCGATTGAGAGAGCTCCTTTTTTGGAACTCTACGGTCCATCATTTTGCTATACTATGGGTAACCTGGATTATATTCATCAGTGCGTCAATTTTTCCTTCATTGTACGACTTCTTTCGGTGCCATAACCGTTCCATCTCCTTTCACTGTCTTTCCGTCTCATCGATATTGCGTATCATTTTCGCCGACATCCTTGTAACAAATCATCTTTGCAATCACACTCGTATTCTCTACGGGCCATTGACCTTGGCTGACCTGTTGCGCACATCGCGTATCCGATAAAACCGTTCAGTCTGCACCTAGTCATTTAACTGAATTCCCTGAAGAGTTCCAACCATCGATAATTCCGTTTCCCCTCATAGTCATGGCAATTGGATAATTATTGATTCTCTGGAATCTTGAAAAAATATGTGTCTAAGGCAGTTTTTGATTCTAGTAGTAGCCACAGCCTTGATTTTATAATAGAGGCTCAATATTCTAACTTTTCCGCTTCCGACCTTCATTTCATTCATCTACTAACTGCCTCTGTGGCACGTTTTTGAAAATATAATTGTTATTTATTAGGTTCGGTGTTTTCAGTATTGGCTCTTGACACATTGAAGGTGTTTGATATTTTGTTTCACTTGTAATCGTCAGAACAAAAAGATTCAATACTATTCTCTCCATTCCGCATCCTTTTTTTTTCGTTTGAGATATTCTGCAATACTTTATTTCTCCTTTATTTCGTTCATCGTTAACCTTCATATCGTATCTCGCCAATCAATTGTATCAGTTTTTGACCCTTCTTTCTCCATATTATTACTCATAGCTTGTTCAAGAAAGACGCTTTTTACTAAAAAATGAGTCCATTGCAACTGAAATTTCATGAGAAAGTGAAAAAAACAAAAAAAGTGTAGTAAGGAAAGATAAATTGCACGCGACCCCTACCTACGCAGGAATATTTATCACTAGTCGCCTACGATTCTTATCTGCAGCGATGATGCCGTTTTTTGTGTTTGCCTTTCTACCTAAAATGCCTGAAGGTTTGAATTTTTTTGATTCCCTTGGTGTGCTCAAATTATCGCGCCGTAAACATTTATACTCTGCTCAAGGAACTTCATACATTGCTACCATTTGAAACTATGCCATTTGACTTTTTCAGGAAGCCCATCCAATTGTTAAAAATTGGAACTAGATTCCTGTATATAAGTTTCAAAGCGTTCATGCTGTCTTAGCAATATTCTCAGTGACCTTGCTCTTTTCAGGAACTCCTGTTACGCCTGATTCTTTTCGAGCTTGGAAAGAAAAGTTTGATAAGGAGCGGAAGGCACTCGTTGAAAAGAAGGAGAAGGTGCAACAAACTTTTCCTTTTAGAATCTTTCTCTGGATTCGCAATGATATTTGAATGGCAGTTGATATCGATCATTTCCGATGAGGTTTTTTCTAGGAACCATTGTTCATCTCTTATCTTTCTCTTTTGTAAATAACGATGGAGGTCATTATTGACTATAATCTATCTAGCAGTATGTTTATGTTGTCCCAGACCACCACTGTTATTTGCTTTTGTGGGGTCTATGGAACAACATTTATGATTCATCTTCAGTGATCTTGCTCTTTTCAAACTCTCAACCATACCGATTCCTTTGATTTCTTTTACTGCCTTCGGCGTTCTATACATATTCTTCTTAAAATATACTCAGGGTAAAATGTCTCGTCCTCTCTTCAGAGCAATATCTATTTCCTTAGAACAATTTCTGAACTCTCAAGTATAGCAATATCACTTGGCGACTTCAGGAGTTCTGTAGTAGTTTGTACTTTTTGACATTTCCCCCCATCTATGACGTTTTACACTCGAGATTAGAGTCTTTTGCCCTTAATGCATTCGTAAGGTGCGAGAAAAGTATTGAGCACGTATTCTCTCAAATTTTGGTTAGTTTCTCTAGAATGATATCCATTATCCCACCTAAGATCGTCCACAGTTATGTCCGACTTCTTCAGTACTTCTGTTGTTGGTCGTTCCCAATCTTGCGTCTGCGTCCGCGTTGCGTTAACGATAGGCTATGTTAGGAAGATTTGCAAAAGAATTCTGCGCGGGACAATGGAAATTGCACAGCAGATTGAATTTAGCGGTGGTAGGTCGTTCGGTTGAAAGGATCGTTGCAGGAAATCAAAAGATACAAGTTTTGTAATTCGGTCAGTCTTACGCCGAGAAAGATGCTTCGGACTTTACCATTTCAAGTGGATTTGATGTGAACCGTACGCAGAGCTCATAGTCATTTTGGCTTCCCCAACGAGAAACTTCGCTATTGACTTTTTAGTCTAATGACCAAACGATCTCATCCTTGCAATGGACAGTACCATCGTTTCGGGAACATGAATCATCTCAAGAAGTTTACACCCGACGAGTTTTGCGATATTTGAATGTAACACTAAAGCTCTGTAGTTCTTTGGTTTTCTTTCCATGTCGATGCAACAATTATTCCTCCAGCAGAGCCCTTGCGCATGAAGCACATCAGTGCAACAATGAGCCCTGTTTTTGATCTCTAGGTTGTGACGTTTGGAGCATTTTGTACACCTATCCTCATTGCACCTCTACGCCTTGGCCTTCCACCTTTACCAGAAACAGCAAATGATTTCCAACGCAAAAAAGATAATCAGAACCCTGCTTTCCCATCTTTCTTATCAAATCTATGTTCTTACATTTTTTGCTCTGCCTCCATTTTTTTCGAACAGACAATACCTGTGCCACGTCCTAGGATTGTTTTTTGAAGGAAGGTACGGAAATCTGTTGATTCGGCTTTTTCATACCACTCCGCTGGTTGTAAAATTCAATCTTATTTACTATAAAATCTTGCAACATAATGATGTGACAGGAGCCAAGGTAGCATGAGTTCTTTCTAATTACCTTTATCAAAAAGGTTTTCTGTGAATTCAATCTAAAGGTCTCGCAAACCACTAGATAGCTTCACATGCTAGTGTTTATGTATGTTGCGCGGCGCTTTTATTTTGATTGTCGTCGTCTCATGACAGACTTCGATATCAAAAGATATCAGGAGAACATTCAATTGACGTATTTCATCTTTTGTCTAGTGGTGTGAACAGAACTTCTTCTTACTTCAAAAGTCCACTCTGCTTTTTGCAATTCTGATCCCTTTATGTTTCCTAACACGAAGTTGATATAGTGGGATACCCATGATACGGAGGTTCGAATCGTGGTTTGCCCAGGCCAACCAAGCCTTCCGTCACTTCGGGGTTGATTAGTCGGTAGCAGGTGGCCAGACTATGTACAAGTCGGTAGCAAAAGCACCGACTTTTACATGGCCACCGCAAGTCATTGTATAGGTTATGCACGCGTTCAGTACGCCACTACGATTCTGATCGAATAGGGAGCATCTCGAAAACGAGAAAGATTAATGCCAAACCCTCAACCTCTACAATTCCTTTTAATATTCCCCTAAAATAGTCTCACGCTCAAATAACGTTGCCATGGTTATAGTGTTTTTCTTTTGTGAATTTGGTCAATTTTCATTGTAGTGAACAGATTGAGTGCGAGGAGTGTAGGTGGGCGGGTGACAAATTGGTGCTTTATCATTCAAGGACACCCCTCTTCCTGTTGAACTATTCTGGTGACTCATTTTTTGTGGCGCCTTTTCTATTCACGACGTGTTTGCGGATTCATGCTGCTCACACCGCTGCTGTTTTGAATGTGACGCCACAAGTTGTCAATTCTTNTAGAACCTCTGAGTTATTTTCCTAATACATAATAGAGAGTAATCGTTGTCCAACAAAAAAAATTAGACATCTCAATACATAAAAATACTGTTTTTTTGTTAAGTTTCTCATGACAGGAGAATACCCTAACTATTACTGGTTTTTGAAAAGGGTTTTCGTGTGATACAGAGGTTTATGAAAAATGTTGTATTCAATTCTTAAAAGAAACTTCAGAACACTGTGATACTGAAAAATTTCTTTTTCTGAATAATGCGCGCTCAGTGTTGCTTTTCTTTATATTTCAACAACGGGGAGCATAAAGTTAGGGCGGCAAGACCTTTTGGTATTTGTAAGCTGACTGTTTACTCTATCTTAATCTTGGGAGCAAATCGAGAGTGTTTCATTCCAGGCGTTGTGGGTGGTGCAAAAACTGGGTGTTTATTTGGAAATTCTCAAAAAAAATTTCGGTATTCATATGGGCATATAAGAAAAATCAACCTCGCTTTTATACTTACATCTCATCTCTCGAAAATGTCGAGAGCCATTCCCGAAGGCTTAGAGGTGGGGACAGTACTCACAGTTTTCCCATTTCATCTCTTTGAAGCTTTTCAAGTAGACTTCTCTTGTCCTCCACGTTCTCTCGTAACGACATCTCCTGCTTTTTCATACTTTGAAAATTCTTCTTGCTACTGCCTTTCATGAATTGCATAGAAAGTTGCTGAAGTTTCCTTTTTTACTAACTAATAGGTATACTTTTCCTAATGAAGAACCTTTCTGTACTCTTCTAATTAGTGGAATCTTGTCTTTAGGAACGTGAAGCTGCGTTAGCTGGTAAACTGACCGGACGACAATTATTCTTGAGGGACGCCACGCTGAACCTTTCCGATGTAGCGCTTATCGAACAAAGTGTCGAAATAGACGAATCATTGTTCGATGAGGTACGATCTACCGAACAGTCTTTTCTGCAATATCATGTTTTACTTTTTGTCACTCTTTTGCTTGAGAAAGAGCTTGGTTATGCACAGTAGTCCTTTACTGGACAGCTGCAATTTTTGATAAAATTTAAGGAATTGACATATAGTTTTATGATGGTCAGTATTAGTCTGAAGTATGTCGAGTTCGTCTAGTTTTATGACTCGATTTGATCTGGTTTGAAGCGTTTTATGATAACCATTTAGGAAATCGATGGTCTCGATATCGATTCGGATGAGGACTAGGAGCAATTAAATGCCGGAAAGCATAGTATAATGGGATACCCATCATTGTTGTACCCTGATCGCGCAGTGTCTCTTTAATATGCTTCATTGTATGCTAATTCTTTGTCAAGCCACAAAGTTATCGGGTATTTCTTGTCATTTTTGTTAACTGTTTGAAANAAACATGAGATTTATTAAATATTATTTATAATCGTCTGACCTGTTCCGAACTGTATGATCAGTACTCATATATCGAATAATTATGTTAATCGTCCTCTGCTACCAACTGTGGTTTAGCAGAAAAACTCAATTTCAATTGCAGAATGTCATATTCGGACGGCAGGGCGTCGTCCAGCCGTGGATCGGGAAACAGTCGAAATTCTGTTAGTTTCCTAGTTCATGTTATTCGTAGTTAAGTTTTCGGTTTGCATGCTGATGTCCCTTTCTGAACGTTATAGAATAGGAGAATAGGAACTAAAAGTAGAAGTGAAAAGTTAATCGATGATCTTGAGTTGAAGTTCTGTTCTTCGTTTGATTTCTGCTTTATGTGGTTTAGAACGGCCGCAACCTCGCGACGCCAATCCATATTCATCAGTCACATGTACCAACCATGCCTTCATTACTGCAGGTGAAGTGACTTTCCTTTTTATTCTTATTGTTGTGCCCACTCCCATTTTTCATTTTATTCAATGTAATAGAAGTTGCTTTGTTTGTTGACTACCATTTCCCGAAAGTCGCATTGTTACATTACTTACCAAATTCATTATATCATGTTCCTTTGATTTTTCAGGTTAAATCCAAATTTGATTCGGAATGGAGAAGATTTTCTCTGACAGCAGAAAGTCCAGAAGTCTATTCTTATGACAGTTTTCGTGCTCTCGTAGAGAAGTTACATCATCTCGAGAATGTTCCTTTCACATTATGTTATAACTCAGCTGGTGGAGACCTGCTCCCAATCACTAACGATGAAGTAAGTGTTGGTCTTTGTGGGGTTATTTTCCTTTTTTATGAACTCATGAGCAGTAGCAGAACATTTTTGTAGAATCTCCGTAAATCATTCGAGTCTGCTCGCCCAACTCTTCGCCTTCTTATCCAGCGAAAAGGCGAGTCGTGGGAGGAGAAGTACGGCTACGGTACCGATAGCGATAGGTGAGAGATATTTCGGGTCTAGATATTTTAACTCATTACTCTTTATATGCAATTCTTACCGTAAGGCCTTGTTGTACTAAACAAATTTGTTTTTAAGGAGAAGGAAAGGCCTTTCTGCATTGATACCTGTACAGAAAGCGCCAAGAAGGAATTATTCAATATCAAATCCCGAAGATTTTCGACAAGTGAGAATGTCTATTTTCTTTCTCGTTTTACTTATGCATAACTTAGAACATACTTGATTCAATGTCTCTATCTTTCTCATTTCTCATTAACTTTTCCGATAAAGTGTTCTATTTATTTATGTTTTCTTTATTTATGAAATAGATCATCAGCTCGTAGTGCCCAAACTTGACTATCGACATGTTCAGGTTTCTGCCATCATTGACGTCGATATTGTACCAGAAGCTCATCGTCGAGTGCGTCTTTGCAAACATGGGTCCGACAGGCCTCTTGGATTCTATATCAGGTCCCCTTTCAAAATATTGTTCAATATATCTATCTGACGTGGCCTTTTTTTGTGTGTTTTGACCGTTTTCCTCGGAGCTATTATCCTAGAAACCGTGTCGAAGATTTTCTAAGCTTACGGTATATGTTCCGCCTTGATCTTGTTATGAATTGTGTTGAGCTTTTGAGTGGGTTGTTATTCCTTCGCAGATAGTTCGTTGTAGGTTCTTTTTCGTGAAAAATGTGGAAATTATAGAGTCCGTTTGAGTATTGTAAATTTAGTTTACAGAGATGGAACATCGGTTAGAGTGACAGAACGTGGTGTCGCAAAGGTCCAAGGTATATTCATCTCTCGTCTCGTGGACGGTGGCCTAGCTGAATCCACCGGTCTTCTTGGCGTTAATGATGAGGTGAATATTCCGACTGGGATAACTCCTCTAAATCATTAGTTTCCTATTTTAAAGCGTTCAACCTTTTCAGGTGCTCGAAGTCAACGGAATCTATGTGCAAGGCAAAACTCTCGATCAGGTTACTGATATGATGGTGGCAAATGCTCATAACCTTATCATCACAGGTGAGCCTTCTTTGAATCATGATGCCAAAGACCTGTAATTCGTATATTGGTAAATTATTGGGTTGCGCAACACTTATAAGTAAGTGCTGGGTGAAGAAAGCTCGAAAAAAGTAGGAACTTAGTACTTTTAAGGGTTTATGTACGAAATGCGTTATGCCAGCGTTTTTCAACTCAACAAGCCAATAGAAGTGCTAGTTAAAAAACTTCTATGCTAAATATTCCGCTCCTATCTCTATTCTAGCGTTTTGAGGGTACACTACGAGGATTCCCCGCTCACCGTTCGGGTGCAGTATTAATAGAATTAATATTGGGCTTTTCTTTCACGAGCCTTCAAGATATCCTGGTCCATCTCGAAAACCTCGTAATTTGTTTCAGTAAAACCAGCAAATCAAAGAAATACACTCCAAAGAAGCACGTCCGGAAGATCAGCAGTGCCACCTTTGGATCAGGACACCGAATCTGATGGCGGTACGGATACTTCTCGATGATCGATGGACCCAACCGAACGCAAGTTGTGGTTGACTTCGTTATATGACGTCTGCATTGTGGTTGCAAGAGATAGAAAAACGTAAATTGTATGTTTTTTTTGCATGCTGCTCGAAATCCTCATTTTTTAAGAAGCCTTGCACCGTCGGTGTAAATAGGCTGCTGACCGATTATTTAGTTAGTTGCGCATGTCATTTCTGTTCTAACATTTTACGCTTTTTGCAAACGGTTAACCACTTTTCAGTTATGTATTTTACGATTGTTTTTACTTTTCTTGTACTCAAGTGCCTTGAGTAGAAGCAGCCAATATTTCTGGAATGCATTCTTATTCGTTCTTCTTGAGCCTTCGATTTTTTTTTACTCTCGCCTCTTGACTATAGCGAAACATATCTTGGCGAATTGTGATAGTTTTGTCTTAACAATCAAAACACGCTGATAGCTAAAGCGGCAGCATGAAGATGGGTTTGGCCATCGTATGTGATAAGTTCCTAGGTGTAATGTTATGTTAGTGATTACCATTCAAAAGTTCCTTCCTACTACTATAATTATTTATCTTCTTCCTCATCAAATAATTGTAAGCAGCTATGTTAAGCGCGTTTTTTCGGTTGTGTCTCCATCTCACTCAGCTACAAATCCGTACAGGATCTATGATTTTCAGTTTTGTTTTGTGTATATCTACAAGATTGCTGCTTTTTTTAATATTCGTCCATGTCATTTTGCTGATTTCGCTCTTCTACTTTGAAGTTTGAAAAGAAGAAAGGCGGTGTGAGCAGCTGGCTAAACCTATTTTTCTTCCACATCCGTAAGGATTACTTTTTCGCCTGCGCCCCTGTTCAGTTACCCCAATCAATTTTGATCACAGCAGATTATGAGTAATAAGTAAAATCAAAAGCACTACGATTATTTGTTTCAAAAGTCGAATTTCATGCCCCATTTTCTGTGAGGGATATTCCACCAGCTGAACGCACCGTACCGAACTAATTCGACCTTCCAGTCTCAGTTCTCTAAATAAGGAAAATGCTGATTGCAGAGTAATTTATGGTAACAATTCTGTTTTCTTTTGTTGTATATTATCTTCGCCGTGACCAATGTCAACTCTCAAGATCGTTGTAGTACGTGTGATGGAATTGTGTTCGTTTAAGGCAGCATATAATACATCACCGGTGGCGCTAACAGTGCCTCGTTTCACGTGATATTTTTTACTTTGTACATCAGATGTAAGCATTATATATAAATATATTTATATGTTGATAAATTATTTATGAGGAGTGTTACTGTTTTGAACCGAATCGTCGTGATCGTGCACTGTCTCCTTTCGCTCTCGGTTTCCTTTGAAACGGATTACTTTAAAGCCAAGATAAAGTAATGGTTTCACAAATTCCTTGGTATGTGAAGGTATACTCCAAATTAACTATTTCTAAGGTGCTCTGCCATCCGGTGACCTTGTGGCCGATGGTATCGCTGCTTTTCCGGATTCTGGTAAAGCCTTATCGGTGTTTGAGGCTTTCGTACAAACGACGTCCTCGAGCTTCCTCCATACTTCGTTCTTACTTGAGGTTCCGTGGGCATCCGAGTTGGACGTCCTACTTTGTGGAATACAGGTACGAGAGATCAAATTCTCCCAGTGTGAGGTGTACTTTTGAGAAGTTGGCAACAGATTGCCAGTTTTACCTTCCCGATTAAGCCTTGGCGAACTGTACTTCATCGTTCAAAGACGTAATCCATTGTTTGGTATTATTATCAGCCTAAGTCCTCAGCATCGACCAATATTGGTCATAGTGAATGCGTAACAAAAAAAAATTCTTGGGGGTATTTGATCGGTTCACTGTAAAATGTTTTTATCGCCGTTTGGCTCTGTCCAGTGAATCCGACTTCAGCGAGTGATAATTACAAACGCTTTGTGTTTGCTCTGTTTATTCTTAACTCCCTTTTTATTCGATCCTTTTACAGGCAGGTGCAGGACGACCATTTTGCTGAAAAGCATTTCAATTTCGATGTTGATGGGCATAACTATCACGTGCTGAGGTATGTCTCGTTATGGAATTCTTCTCCTCGACTTAGAGCGAATAGCCTATTGTTATTGTTCAGTCCTTGCTTGAATTGCTGCTGATTCCTGCTGCGGTTCCTTTTCCATTGTACATTCCGCGTGACTGCATCCGGAGTCGTTACCATATGAAACTTACTGAAACTCTGACATTTCCCTTGATCATCGATTCTTCTCTGCTTCTTCAAATGCTACGATTCGGACTGTTCCATAGTTGCACATTTTCGTACTCTGAACGTTTTCAAATGTCTCCATTAGGTGTGATTCACCAACAGCGTTCAGAGCGAAAAGAAGGTTTTTAGAAGTTTGTTTGTGGTATATCAGAGTGAGTTTAACACGGTTCTGACATTTGGGTTCGATTCTCTTTGTTGGGGGGAGGGGGGTTCTAATTCAAATTCATGCGCGGTTTATTTATTATCTATTATCGTAGGTTCTTGTTTTAGGTGGATAGGGCGGAAAAAATGTTGGTAATACTGTCAAATACTAGATCGAAAAACAGCCTCGGTGACCGGTAGACATCAGATTCGTGTTCGGTATGCGCACATCCCTTGTGGCATTGTTTGCGGTGAATTTTCCGTGTTCAACTTCATTTTCTGGTGTCCAGAACTCGATAGTGAATCGTGTTCATCCTTGCCAATCGATTTTTTTCGATTTCTGAGATTCTAGACGTTGAACTTACATTTGGACATGACTATTCACTGTACATGATGATTTTTAACTGAGGTATCTCATCACTTCGGGAATTTTGAAGCAACATTCTGCAGCAGAAGTCATTAAAATTTATGAACGTTTGTACTAATTCGTGGATGGACCCATTTGCACGGCAAGGCTATGTTTATGGGGAGGAGCAGAAAAAACTACTTTCGGTTGAAAAAAAGTTCCAGAAACATTCCGAAGAAGTCCGTCGCGTTGGCCTCAATGGAAATGATGTGCAGTCTTAATGGTATAGTTTCATTCGTGGTCAGTGGCCGGAATTCGAACCTGGATTTGACCCATTGTATAACATCGACGTACGTCAAAGAAGAAGGCATTTTAGTCAGTGGAAAGACCAGCTGTCTGCAGAAAGGTCAGAAATAAGTAGGTCTACGGGATACGGTAGTTATTTGGAAAAACAACGTGATGATAGTGGATAGTAACCGGTTCTTTATTTTCCGTTTGTTCCCTTCTTCCAGCCATTTCAACATTGATATTGTCGATACTGATATTGTCGTCGAAATAGCATTTCCCACGCTAAATATTCATTGGTCATTGACTTTTAAAAAAGCCCTTTCTTTTTTCTTTTGACGTTGTTTGCATATGTTAAATATGGTGGGAACAGACCCGGCAGTGGCTACCGTTCACCCAAGGACCTCATTCACTCGACTAGAAATTCTGGGAAAAACAAGAAGTGGTGCTATGAGTAAACAAAAGCAAAGATCGATCATCGTATTTATGAGATTATTCGCTAATATTTATAGCTGCCCCAGGAGCTTTCTCGTCATCATCCAGCTTGGACATTGATAAAGGATAAGAAGGTCTTCGATCTTGAACGTTCCATTTTTGGTATGCACTCCCGCTTTTAATTTCTATTCTGAATCGTAAGGGCGTTTTGAATGTGTATGTGGCCTACACAACGTTTACAGTGGCCATCTCATATTCGAGATAATGCTTTTGTCTTCTCAAAGGAACTTAGAGCCAATCAACCGATTCCGGAGGGATGGCAGGTTGTTTGACTTGGGTGAGCATCGATTTGGATTTCGATCCCTGAACCATGTCTGTGCGATAGCGCGCCATTTGCCTTTACACCAAAAGCAAATCAAAGTTAGATGTAATTATAACTTGTTTTCAAAGAGTTAGGTGTCTCTGTACTTTCTGGTTAAAATGTGGAGGGGGAAATTGAATCTAACTGGGAAGTGGCGATCCAATCTACGGCGGGGCTCGTTACCATTTATGACTCTGCTCGTTGAGTAGAGTGGTCGTTGAGTTTTTCTTCCGATACGAGCTCTTTTCCTCTTACGGAAATCATTCACATTTCCATGTTTTTGAAGATTTTCTTCGAAAACTCCCAGTCCCGCATACCTAAAACGGAATGGAAGGGTTTGATTACACCTTGCATTAGAAAAGTACCTGTTAGTAATCAAAAAGAGTAGTCAAATATAACAAATAGATTTAGCTGTTTCTGTGCGGTGTTTCGAAGTTTTTATCCCTTTTCGGCGTAAACACTAGGTCAACAATTGCGGCGGCAATCGTTTCGTTCTCTCAAAAGCGTGATAAAGTATTTGGATCATTGAACTCGTCAAAGGTGTTCGGTGCCAATGAAAAGATATCTGTTTGGGTTTCGGCTGATTGATGTTTACTCGTCTTAGGGCGGTCGCTGGAATATCTTCATCTGATTAGTGTCCGAATCGATTTTTGGATGTTGCACTTGCCAGCTCAACTCGTTGAGCCCTCTCTTCGATCTCCTTCTCACTTTCGGCAATCTCATCTCCCACAGCATTTTCTGGGTTTCATCAAGAGCACAGGGGCAGG